TGTGTGTGTGTGTGGCTGCTAATTCTGGTGCTTATGCATCCAGCCAGGCAGCACTGATACAACACTGAGAGCAGGGATAAAGCCGGCTTTGTGTCCAACTCAGGATCTCGGGCACAGAGTGGCTGAAATGGCACAGAGCCATTGTCACAGGTTCACTGCGGTCATATACACAGAGACAGAGAGAGAGCTGGCGACACCAGTGCTGGTTGAAACCATAGATATTAAAGGTGCAATTGCAACACTGTTTGAGACAATTACTATAAAAAAAAATACAACCATCATTTGACTTAATGGCTTTTTAAAAAAACATGTTACTGCAACTGTTTGCAGAGGAAATATGAAAGATTGTGTGATAAAGCACAAAGAGTGCTGTTCTTCAAGTGAGACTGTTGCCTACTGACGCACAACAGACGCACAACAGATCAGATTTTATACTGTACACCAAATATGGAATATGGAGTTGATATTTAATTGTTGCTAAAGTAGCTCCTCAGTGTTCTCCAGCTAGCTGCTAACTTTGCCATTTGGTGATGGGGTGTGTGTTTATTGGAGGTTTTTGGCAGAAAACGGCTGTGTGCTGCATCTGGAAACAGGGCCGATGAGAGATTTTTGGCAGCAGGAAAACGGTAACACTGCAGGCTACATAACCAGAACTATGAGCTGACACAGAGTTACTAAAACTGTTAATGCTTATTGCAGCTTTTTACTTTGGTATCGAGTGCACTTTGGTAGGAGGACCCATGATAGTATATAAAAAAAACCCTCTTTCAATAAGTTTTCCATCTTAAAGAAAGATTTCTACAAACAATTGCAAGCAAGAGTGCACTAAAGTGCAAAAGTGTCCTCAAGGCAGACTTGAAAAGGAGACAGTGAGAACAACAACACATAAGAGACCTTTGAGAAGTCTTTGTGCATGTCTCTGGTAATTAAATGTAGAGGTGGGTAGATAGATCCAAGTATCAACTGTATCGATACCAAGACTGGTATAAAGCATTCAAGAGCTACATTTAAAGAAGTATGGAATACAATTTCAAATTAAATTAATTCATTTTCAAAATATAAGATTACATTTCAATTTAGTGGCAATCATTTTCAAACCAATCCGTTCTTTAAGTCTGACGTCATTAGCCATGTCTGGGCCCAAACTCCGCTGCAGGTCCCAAAGTCAAACAATCACTGCAGCATTACTGAGAGTTGAAAAACTGTCTAAAATTCTTTCATCTGTAATAAAATGATCAGTGTGGCTGCTCTACAAGGTGTAACAATTAAGTAAAACATCCATGCATCCATGAAAACAGAAATTATGGAATTTATGGGGTTAGAAGTTAGCAGGGAGCTAGCTCGCTAGTTTCCATCATAACTTTTTAAAAAGTTAACGTGACGTAACGTTAACGGGTTCCCGATG